ATGAAGCCCACAGACAACAATGGAGTCTACTTACTAAAAATGTAACACTCAACCAGATGAATGGTCTGTGGCCAAGGCCTTGGAGAAGTTAGCAGTGGCCTTGGAGGGACATAATCTCTAGAAATCCAAATGGAAGAAACAAAGAAAGGGAGGGAAGGAGGGAGAGAAGGAAGGAAGAAAAATCCAAATGGGAGAAGCTAACTTGAACTTCTTGACATCAGTTTGATGATAATGAGATTTAATTTTGGAAAATACAAAACTGACTTAAACATCAATTGTCAAGAGTTCAGTAAAAAAATATAGACATTTGATTTTTGCTAATGGAATATATTTGATGAAATGCATAGTTTTTTGTATATAAGTCACTAAAACGGACAACTACATTTATAGATTAACCAATGAATATAGGTCAATAAATTAGGATATTAGTGAGTCATTCAATCTAAAATTCATTTCTTTTGACTAAAGGACACTTGTTGAAATTATTATGAACACATTTCCTTTTATCTCAGTGAAAATAATTGGGTTGGTCTTCCTATTTTTTTTCTCTGAACTCAGAGCAAATTTATCAAGCTAAGACATCAGATGCCTATGCTCAAAAAATACAGTACATAGGGTAGAATACCTTGAGGAGTCACCTTCTTGACAGTAAGTACTTTTTCAACCTAGGAATCAAGTCAATGAGCTATACAACAACGTGTTTTATTTGTTATACAAAACCTATAGGAAGTCAAAGATTTTCCTGGTACTAATACCTTTTGACAAAATTTAAAATTTACTATGCTTCAGCAATAGGATAATGTTGAGATACAAGCTATCAGTAATACATTTTAATATGTTATACAACACAACCAGGAAGTATCTCATGTTATCAAGATAAAAAAAAAACCTACAAAGGATATTTGGTCCTTAAAAATGGACTACTTCCCAAGAGGCTTTACAAAACTTAAGTAAAGCCAGTTTTAATTATTCATATGAGTGGAGAAGGATTAGTACTTAAGGTGAATTTTAATGTTTGATAGATATGCAAACTTATGAATGTTGTATTGACTTCTTAATTCTCTCCTGAATGCAAACAAGAACCTGAGGACTTTGTTTCTTCTGATAAAAAATGCTGATTATAATATTCCTGGTAATTTTCAAATGTCTGTTTCACTTGGATGTTAAACATCAATGTATTGTTCCTCATATATTTACATCCAAATACCTACATAGGCATCATCACTGTAAATTTTATATTTTGCAGGAGTTTCTTAGAATAATTGTTTATGAATTACATAATGGTTCAAAGATGGAAATACTCTTTTATTCAAGTCTCTCTTTCTTTCCCCTTCAATTAACCAAAAGTTCATTACTTATTACAACAAACTTGAAACCAGGAGAAAATACCAATGTAGAAATGGTACATGTTTATTTTCATAGAGCAAACTTTAAAGACATAGTTCAAGTTTGGGCCATTATATAAGTCATGTTGTTACTGGCTTATTCTCATATAAAAGGAGGAGAAGTATAATTACAATTTCCCCGTGAAACATTTAAAAATACTAAAGGGCAGAGAGTTTCATAACTAGCATATTACTCAGCAGAATGTGGTTAGAAAGTCATGCAAAGTAGGGGACTCAAGTTTCATGCTTTTAACCTTGCTAACACCACATATAAATAAAATATGCTGTAGACAGAATGTTTAAATTTAAATAAGCATCCACTTAAGGAACTAACCATGTTGCACTTGCTGGTCGACATGGTGACATCTAGGTTCATAGGATAAGCTAATAGGCTAGGGAGTTGTCTCCATCTAACCAATCTCTCTTATCTCCTATAATGGTCAAGCAATGCCTTCAGTATTGCAGATATAGTAATGACTGGAAGAAAGGTTTAGGCTCATGAGTCTAAAACTGAAGTTTGCAAAGGAAAAAGAATAAGTACAATGGATATTTTCTGAGAGTATTAAGAGCTATGAAGAGAAAAAAGGAGATGTTACAACACCAAGGAAGGAACTGTTAGTGATGCCAAGCCTCTCTGCGAAGGCAGTACTTGGGTCATTGCTAAAGGACAAGGAGACACACAGCAGTAGCAGACTGTCAGGTCCAAGTGTGTGAGCAGGGACAGGAACAACAACAAATGCATGGGTCAATACTTAGCCTGTTTCTGGGGAAGGACACTGGCTAATGTGGCAGGAATAGAAACAGTAGCTGGAGTAGATTACTTAGAACATTGTAGGTATGCCAGACTTTTTTGGCTCCCCAAGGGAAGGTCTTTCCTCCTCTGAGGAGTAGATGGGGGTGTGAAGGGGGAAGATGGGGGACAGGAGAAGGTGAGGGAGGGTGAACTGGGCTCTGTATGTCAAATGAAAAACAATTTAAATAAAAATATATAAAATAGAAAATGAATTTGCATTTGATATTTCATGCCAAATAGAATGCTAAGATATATTTAGGCTGATACTGCATGGTCTGTTTGAGGTTCAGAAAGGATGTCTCTGGCTGCCCTATCAAGGATGAGCTGGAGAAGAACACAGGGTAGGTGGAAGGTTCTCAGAACAGCTGCCATGAATGCTGATTATATTTGGGTCTAAAGTGTATGTGGAGGGAAGTGAAAAGCAAAAGGCATTGTGGAAGCCGGGTCAAAGAGATCTGCTTCTTTACCATGTCTTAAGAAGGTGCTGCTGCAATTTTTACCCACTGACCCTTCTGCTTCTCTAAGAAATTGCAAAATCGATTTAATTACTTTCAGGCAATGAAAGAGAACATAAGTACTATTCCCTCTGGCTGTCCTCTGATGTTTTCTGACAATTTTGACTGTTCTGACCACCGTTCACTAGTTGCCATCTTTCTGGCCATGTCTCTATTTAAAATCTGGTCCCCAGAAGTGAATGGAGCATTCCAGGTAGCCCCTGCAACCATAAAGTGAATGAGGCTATTTCCTCGCGGAAATTTTTTCTCCTCACATTTTTTAATGCAGCTTAATTCACTCAAATTTCACACTAAGTGAAGCAAGGTGGGAGGAAACAGTATGAAGGGTCAGGAACAAGATTATCACCTGCCTTCAGTTGCAGAGTGTCTGTGGTAGAGATTTACTTATATAAACAGACCTGAGTAGAGCACGTTTTCTTCACAGATCATCACTGGAAAATAAGGTGCAAAACTGATAAACAAAGATGGTGCTGAAAAGTAATCAGCTGAGGCTGGAGTTGAGGCAAGGAGAACAAACAGGCCCTGAAACAAGAATGGTTAATAAAGAGCCCTCTCAAGGATCCCACAAAATATTCTGTTCACAAGTGAACAGAAAGCAGTTACTTTAAGTGGAAACAATGGTCAACATGGCTTTGGAGTAAAGATCTCTGGAAGCTTCAAGAACCTTTGTTGGATGGACACCTTGTTTTTCATCAATCACAAACACTACTCTGTAACCAAATATTAATCAAGCACTACATAGGAAATGTCCTTACTGTGTTTTAGCTAATTTGTTTCCTTATCAGTTATTTCTGTTCTATGGCTTCACAGGGCAAACGATAAGTCTATTATCTCTGCAGCAGCCCAATGCTGAGAGTATTTGTGGCATATTAAAACTGTCTCCTAAATGCCAGATCTGATTTTCTGTCTTCGTTCTATTTCGTTTTTATTACTGTAGGCAGAATATTGCCTTATTTTGCAAATGAAACTCTAAAATTAGGAGAAAACCATGAAGTAGCAGAGAAGGATTTTCTGAAGAGGAAATTGACTTAATGCTTAAGATGAAATATATCGTATCCAATGGATAAGAATGTATCATTCAGTTGACTTCCCTAATTCAAGAATGGGGCAGTATCCACACAGATATCTTCTTGATGAAAAGAATAAGGAAGAAAACAATAATATTCAATATTTAATTTTCACATTTCTGATGATTCATGTTGAAAATGTTGAGTTAAGCAAAGAAAGAAATAACCCAAAATGGCTTCCAAAATTTGGGGGAAAACTAAATAGCCATGATTTAAAACATAGAATATAATACAGGAATTAAAAGCAATGCATCATTAGTAAGTATGAAAACAATTTAACCATCAGATAAATGTAAGAAAAAATATATTAATAGTCTATGTCATTCCAAGCAGAATGACAACTTTCACTAAATCCAACAGAGCAAATGTTGGTGAGGCTCTGAAGAAAAATATATACTGTTTATGGGAATATATAGAAGTACGTTCAAATGCTAAAAGTGGGACTTCTCTATAATCCAGTTCTACCACTCTTGGAAATACTTTACAAGGAACTAAGGCAATAGAGATAGTGTCATATTCATGCTTACTGTGGAATTATTCACAACAGCTATGCCATTGGATTGACCTAGATACCTACCATTGATGAATGCAAAGAGTGAATATACAATGGAGTATTAGTAAACCATTAAGAACACATGCATGTCATTTTCAAGAAAGTGGATGACACTAGAGGTCATGCTGTTAAATGAAGTAAGACAGATTCAGACAGACAGATATCACCTGTTTCCTCATATGTGAAAAAATAAAAAGAATAGATATTTCCATATAAAGGGAACTATTAGCAAATAGATGGTTAACTTGGAGAGAGGCAAGAAGATAAATATGATGAACACAGGAGACAAACATAACCTTCGAATCCACATATGACAAAGGACAAGTGGCTTCTGTCTAGTTTGGGATCTTTAGACTTATTCATTGAATTAGGAATGCCTACAGAAGACAAGAGACTAGAAAGGGGTTATAGGTAGCAAGATGACTTATGAGAGGGAAATATTAGAATGTAGGTAATATGAAAATAGAAATGGGGAATATTGCATGTAGAAAAATTTAAGCAGGGTGAGGTGGGTAAATGAGACAGAAAGGTGAATGGGGGTAGGAAGGTAACCAAAACAAGGGGTATATGAATAAAATCATGAGGAAATGTATCTATTTATTTCCAAGTTAATTTTCAAGAATGTGCGTTAAAAGACCACAAAAAAGGATTTAGACAGAAGATAACCTTCATGATTAGATAATCCTCTTCTAGGTGACATAAATGATTTTTAAAAATTCTCAGAGCCAGGAATGTCATACCTCCTTAATAGTGTTCGATGAGTCTCCTGAGGTGAGTGCCTTCCTGAGGTAGTTTATAAAACCCTATTTTGAAGACAGTACATACCTTTGTTGTATAAGATAGAGAAAGCAAGCTGGACACGACAGGCAGACTCCTTCCATTCTAGCTAACTTTCAGAATGACAGGAAGTGTTTTGCAGGCATTAGGGATAAGAACCACCAGCAGGCTTATCCAGCTGTGAACACTGCAAGCTACTATAACAATCTGCTAGCCAAGATGTGCTCACTTGTGCTAAAATAGTGGCATGACTCTTATGGTCACAGCCAAATGAGCCCCCCTCCACTGGAGAGAATTCATGTCTAGCATTCTAAGAATAGTAAAAGCCCATGATTCAGAAAGTCTTGGGACATAAGGGGCAATTTACTGCAGTATTTCAGTATCTAGATAGACACGGCGCCAAACTGGAGTGTAAATATTTATGTTGATAGTAGCATGGGTGAATTCTATCCCAAGTCTAAATCACAGAAGCCTCCCTATGTAATGAACAGAAGTGAATGGAGACTCATGATTGTTCAAGATGCTGAGAATAAAAGACAGTTTTGTTCTCAGCCCTAAACATTATAATGCTCCCTTAAATCCCAGGGCATTTGGAGGAAGAAGTGGTAGATAGAGGAGGAGCCAGAAGATACAGGAAGAGGGCATCTTGGCAGCACAATCCAAACATTGCATCATCTTCTCACACAGCTGCAGTTGCTTGCACTAGGCCATCACAACAGGGGCTATCAGTAGCCCAACATGGACCAGGGTGGGGGGGAGGCCTATGAAACCCTTTTCATCCTTACTGAACCAATGGCTGTTCTGGGGGAGGGTCAGTCAATGTCTTCAGGTGTATACCCAGTGATAAGCCCACTAGGCAGGCTCCCAGTGGGTTGTTCTAAACCCATAATCGTACAGAAGGAAACCAAACAAAAATACATGAGTGTGGGGAAAGGACTTGTGGAGAGGAGAGGTACTGATAGGGATGTAGAAACTTGAAGAGACTGCATCTAAAAGTAATATAATATATATATGTATATATATGTGTGTATATGTGTGTGTGCAAATATATGTATGTATATATGTACACATACACACATATATATGTTTCTCAAAGAACAAATTTAATTATTTTTTTGAACAACAAAAGTGAGACCCTATCTCAAATAAGTGGAAGGCAACCACTGATTGACATCTGAGATTTCCCTCTGACTCCATATATGTGTTATGTATGCCATGGCCTATAACTGTACACATGAACATGCACACACAAATATATTCACATCATATATATATAAGATTATGAATAAGATGCTTTGGGGACAAATAGATATCTGAGTAAGAAATATTTGATTCATTGTAATTCAATATTTGCAAGAATTTTAGCAAAACTCACACCAAAGGTTAAGGCCACTTCTCCAAAAGTCAGAAACTAGTTCAGATTCACAAAACAAAGGAAAGGGATTAGTTTACTTTCAAGAGCTATTGTTTCTTCAATCTTGATGAAGCAATTCCTAATTAAGTTTCCATATATTAACAAGGTACCTCCTGCGCACCAGAGGACACAGACACCTTCTGGTTGTGAAGAGAGGAGTTGATGGTAGTGTCTCAGCAAGATTACAAGATGGACACAGATACCTTCTGGTTGGGAAGAGAGGAGTTGATGGGAGTGTCTCATCACAATATTACAAGATGGACACAGATACCCTCTGGTTGGGAAGAGAGGAGTTGATGGGAGTGTCTCAGCAAGATTACAAGATGCCATGAGGCAGCACAAAAGGGAGAGCTGTGTTCCCGGGTACGATAGTGTAAACCAGCACATTTATATATCAATTGCATCCTGTAAAGGGCTAGACTGAATGTCTTTGAGGAATATTTATTCCAAACATTGCCGCAATTGCTAAGATTAAAAAGGTAAAATAAAAAATGAACATTACCCATTTATGAATGAAGACCTGCCCTTTACTTAAATGGCACCTGGACAGTAACTAATATTATACTAAAAAGAGAATGAATTCATTACTCAGAAGTAGAACATGGGGTTTTCTGACTTGGTTCAACTGCTTATTCTTTCACCCAGTAAATCATTCATGTAGTCATTCTATTAAAGCAAGAATTATTAAGTATTTATTATGGATAAGGACAGAAAGTTCTGAGTTGATGATGAAGTTATATTCTCTATTTTTAAAGAGTCCACGCAATAACAAGGAAGATAAAAAAACAGCAACCAACTATAATTGAATTAAAAACATGTTAACAGAGGAAAAAGTAACCAATTACACATGAAAGTATTTCAGATGAAGGCAAGAAACATATAGTCATCAGAAGGAAATAAACAATAAAACAAAGAAATTAAAGAAACTAGAAATGAAAACAAATCCCATTGTTTTTGAAAAATCAGTATTTACAGACTTCTAACCAAAATGACATTAAATGATATGACATGAGACACAGAGACCACCAAATATAAATATAATAGAATAAAATACATCAGTGGAGGTTCTGCAGACCTCAAAAGTATAAGAGAATGAAATACCATGTCCAGACATTCAAAAGACTGTCAAGGATTAGTCAGTAAAGTGTTTGTTACACAAACACTAGGACTTGAGTTCAAATCCCCAATACTCATGAGTAAGGCTGGATGTGGTGGCATGTGACTGTAACCCAAGTACCAGGGAAGCAGGGACAGAGGAGCATCCAGGCCTCACTAGCCACTAGTCATGCCAAATCAGTGAACTTCAGGCTCACTGAGACACACTGACTCAAAAAATAAGCCATACTGAAACAGCAAGATACCATTGATACTGCAATAGTAATAGTGACTTTTGTCTTTTGGGTAATTAATGTATATTTGTGCTTAAGGCTTCTTCAATATTAGGGAATTCATCTTGGTACTTTAAACTTAGCCAACTTTCCATGGCTGTAGATATCATAGACCCAAGAAAAGAAACTACTATTACCATTTTCTTAAACCAGTGATTCTCAACCTTCCTAATACTGGAACCCTTCACTACAGTTCCTCATGCTTGGGCAACTCCCAACAGGAAAATTATCTCATTAATACTTCATAACTATAATTTTGATACTAATATGAATTGTAGTGTAAATGTCTGATATGAATGATATCTGATATGTGACCCTTGTAAAAGGGTCATTTTGTCCCCAAAGGGGTTTTGACCCACAGGTTTGCAAACTCCTGTACCTACACCAATGTAAATTCTAACTTCTAGATATTTATCCTTGTACCCACAAATAAAGACAGCTCTCACCAATCATCAAAGAAGCTTCCTTGTTAAAATCTAGAGAAAAGGTGACTGTGAGGTGCTCAACCCAACTAATACATGTGCAAAGCAACCCTTACATCTAAGATGTGGGGAAAAGCATGGGATTGCACAGGAAAGTTGTTAGAGCCAGTGACTCAGAACTCCTGCTCTTAGTGCATCTAGACATGTCAGGAAATGTGAATTCATGAAAATCCAACAATATGCTTGCCTGCAAAGATCTGAAGAAATCATGGAGGCACCAGTCACATGCCAAAGCTTTATCCATAAATGAAGGGTTGCAGATGATCATCAGCTTCTGAAAGAGGGAGAAATCATATCTTTCATAGATGAACTGCCTCAGAGATGTCTAATCCAGGTGCTCATCTCTGGAAACATGTACAAATGAGCAATACTAAATTGAGACAGGTGTGAGTGCTTGTGTGTGTGTGTGTATGCCTGTGTGTGTGAGGGTGTGTGTGCATGTGTATATGTGTGTGTGGCATTAATAAATAAAGAAGATAAAATGAATCTGGGAGAGAGGGGGGTATGAAAGAGTTGGAGGTGGGAGAGTAGTGTAGGATTGATTGAGTAGATAGGGTATTCACGTATGAAGCTCTAAAAAATGAAAACAAATTTAAAAAATTAAAATATTAAAGTAGAGAGTGATTAAGGGAAGACATTAGAAGTTTACCTCTGTCTTCCACACATGAGCCTACATGTATGCAGGAACGCCCACATAACCCCCTCTCTCCTCTCCTCTTCTCTCTCTCCCTCCTTTCTTCCCTCCCTCCCTCCTTTCCTCCCTCCCTGAGAGAGAGATTCCAAGTAGCTGAAGTGACCAATTTTTAAAGACAACCATGACTCTTATTCTGTTCTTCACCATACCCTCCGAATATGAACCCTGTGAGCTACAATAATGGCTGTCTGGCAAGACATGGGAGTAATCAAATGGTTTCTGATTGGATCTAAGTCCGGCTTCACAAGATGAAATGAATACATAACATCATTATTGGGCCAATAACTTATGACTAGATAAGTCATAGGCTCCAGGTAAGGCCTATTTCTATTATTCTACTAGATGGACAGTAACAAACCAACTACTAACAACTTGCCATTGTACGCATAGCAGTGCATCTCTCAATAGTCATCTGAGAAACTTCTATTTGCACTAAATGGTGATTAGCACAGACATAAGATGCAGAGAATGAGAGACTACACAGTGTAGAGCACCGAAGGTAGCATGGATACTGCACCCTTCTCTCAAGTTTCAGGAATCATTGTGAAAGAAGGGGCAGGAAGAGTGTAAGAGTCTAAGGGCATAGATAACTAAAAGGAAATATTGTCTTCTGGGCACAAAAGTGTGACTGTACATAGGAACACACAGCATGCACAAAATCTGTGCATGTTCAAGCCAGATCAGATCCAAGCACACAATTCAAACCCTAGCTTCGGGAAGAGAGGGACATGGTTTTCTCTAAGAGCATAGACTCTGGTAAAGCAACCACACTTTATTAGAAAACATCCGAGAATATTGGGGCATGAACCAATTTTTGTGGCGGGATTTTAAAAAAAGAATATGTTTTATAGGTAGGGTAGGGAGTGGATTTGGGAAGAGTTGGGAGAAGAAGCTGAGTGATCAAAACATATTGTACCAAACTCTCAAAAAATATTTCAAAAGCTCTTTAATATCAAAACTAAACTTCTAAGAAAAATATAGAAGTAAATCTATATGATCTTGCATCTGGCAAGATTTTATATAATCTACCTAAAATACTATGTTACCTCACTCAGTATACTTTTTCTAGTTCCATTACTTTATCTGAAAATTTCAGAATTTTGTTTTCCTTTTAAAAATCATTGTGTATATAGGTTTGACATTTTCATTATCCATTCATCTGTTTATAGACAGGTTAAAAAAAGTACATCCACTTTTTAGTTATTGTGGGCAGAAGAGCCATGAACATGATTGAGCAATATCTCACTAGTAGTAGACAGAATTCTTTGGGTGTTGACAAGAAGTTTTGTACCTGGGTAATAAGGTAGTTTTATTTCTACTTTTTTCATAATAGTCATGCTGATGCTGATTTCTAGTTGTTGAACCAGTTTAGATTCCCACTAACAGTTGATCCTCTTTCTCCATTTCCTTGCCACTTTTAATTGACATTTGATTTCTTAATATCTGCCATTCTGGCTAAGGTGAGGCAAGGAATCTCAATGTAGTTTTAATTTATATGTCTCTGATAGCTAGTGATGTCCAACTTTTTATTTTGTTTTTATTATTATTATTTTCTTGGGTTTTGAGACAGGGTTTTTCTGTGGCTTTGGAGACTGTCCTGGTATTAGTTCTTGTAGACCAGGCTGGTCTCGAACTCACAGAGATTCTCCCTTATTAGCCACTGTTACTTTTTATTCGGAGAACTCTCTTCAGATTCATGCCCATTTTTAATGATTTAGCTTTTAAATGTTTAGTTGAGTGTGTGTGTGTGTGTGTGTGTGTGTGTGAGAGAGAGAGAGAGAGAGATGGTGTGTGTGTGTGTGTGTGTGTGAGATATGGTGTGTGTGTGTGTGTGTGTGAGATATGGTGTGTGTGTGTGTGTGTGAGATATGGTGTGTGTGTGTGTGTGAGATATGGTGTGTGTGTGTGTGTGTGTGTGTGTGTCCCTGTCTGTCCATATGTATGTACTGTATGGATACCATGTGTTCTTATCTTACCAAAGAAAAACCCTATTTCATTGATTTGTGTTTGTTTCCATGTCATTAACTTTGGCTTTTAAATATGTCTTTCAATCTACTTCTTTTAGATATGGTTTGTTGCTTTTTTTCATACTCTTTAGGAGCATAGTTAAGTTATTTATTTGAGTTCTTTCTCACTTTTTAAATAGAGGAACTCAAAGCTATAAATATCCCTCTTAGGACTACTTTCATTGTATCTCAGGGTTTGGGGTATGCTGCACTTTCATTTTCAAAAAGTTCTAAGAATTGCTTTTTTCATTCTTAATTTCTTCAGTGACATAAATTGTGTTGTTTAATCTCTGTGAGATTTTCCAGTCTGGGTAATTTCTTTTGGTATTAATGTCTAGCTTTAGTCCATCATCATTCAATAGAATATAAAGAGTTACTTCAATTTTCATCTATTTTTTTGAGATTTACTTTATGTCCTAATATATGGTATATTTTAGAGAATTTTTCACAGACCGCTGAAAGAAATGTTCTATAGTGCTCGGATGAAATATTTCTGTGGATATCTGTTTGGTCCATTTTATCTATGATATTATATTTCAATTTCTTTACTTTTGTCTGGATATCTTTCCACTGTTGAAGTGGAGTACTGAAGTTACCTTCTATTATTACTGTATTGGGGGTTACTTTTTGGCTTAAGGCCTAGTACTGTTTATTTTAGGAAACTAAGTACACTTGGGTTTGGTGTATACAGATTCAGAATTGCAATGTCCTTTTGATGGATTCTTACCTTGCTCAAAATGATCGTTACCTTCTTTAATTAGTTTTCATTTGTCTATTTTGTCAGTAACAGAATAGTGATTCCCATTCATTTCCTCATCTCACTAGCTTGAAATATCCCTTTCCCTGTCCTTAGTATCTATTCTTGAAGCAATGCGTATTCCTTGTAGACAACAGAAAATGTATATCGCTCTCTAATTCAATAAGCTAGTGTCTGTCACTTTACAGGAGAACATGGGCCTTTAATACTGAAACTACTGTTGACAGATATATACTAATTGTTCTCATTTTCTTGATGTTGTGCTTTCTTAGGTCTACTTTAAATGACAACTGCCCTAGTATCATTCATTCTTTTTTCTTGGCTATGCTTAACCTTCTATTCAGTTCAAAGTGTTCCTTCCAGCATGCTCTGTAGGGGTGACAAAGGAGTCATACATTTTTCTAACTTGTTTTTAATTACAAAGTGTTTTTTAATCTTTTTCAACCACAACATGAAATTTTTCTGTGTATAGTAGTGTAGATTGGCTCCACACCCTTATTTGTGAAATTTCTATTGAGAAATCGGTGTTATTCTTATGGGCCTCTCTTTATTTGTGACTTAGGTCTTCTTTCTTGTAGCTTTCAATGGCCTTTCTTTGTTCATTACATTTAGTGTTTTAAGTATCATATTGCAAGAAACATTTTATTTATGGCCATATATAGTTGGTATTCTATGTTCCTTATACCTACAAGAACATTTCTTTGCCTAGATTTGGAAATTTTCTTCTACGATTTTATCGAAAATATATTTGACATTTTTGTTTTAGAATTCTTCTCTTTCTTATGAGGCCACAGTTCATAGGTTTGATCTTTTCAAGTATCCTCCATATTCCACTCATACATTTTTGAAAAAGTCATCTTTTCTGTTTCCAAATGATCCAATTCCTCTATATTGACTTTGAGTCTTGATATTCTGTTTTCAATGTGACCCATTCTGTTTTCTTTCTGCCAAGTATTGTATTAGATTTATTGAATTATTTATTTACAGCATCATTTCAGTTTGAATTTTTCTTCAATATTTCAATCTCTTTTTGAATTTTTTGTTGTTGTTTTCTGAATTGCCCTCATTTTACTCAACTGTTTGTTTTTTAGATTTAAGCCAGGATTTCATTTCCAGTCCTTTTAAAGCTATTTCAGGAAAATTTCCTTGAATTTTTTGGATATGGTTAAAATTGTTCTTTAAATTTCTTTTCTTGAGTTTTGTCTAAGTTGTTCTCATTGAATACAATTACTATGATGATTTTTGAGGAGTCAAATTGTCTTTGTTTTCATATTGCTTGAGTTTTGTGATAGGATCTTAATATCAGAAGTTAAGTCATGGAATGTTTGTTTAGAAATGAGTTTTTGCCTGCCCCTACCCAAGGTGAGTGGGTGCTTGATCTGTCTTCATTCACTCTTACCCCAACTTGATTTTGGATCATTTGGGAGATGCTTGGAACTTATAGCCAGCTTGAGCTTACAGCTTGAGAGGCTTCCAACCCGTGGGGCTGACTCATGAATTAAGTAGCTGAAGTGATTCCAGTTTAAGTAAAAAAAAAAAAAAAGCAATGCCCCTGACATCACCAGTGGTTGTTTTTGTGGATTACCAACGAGGAAGGTATATACAACATTGATGGTTTGTGATCTCAGATCTGTGGAATAGGAAAGAGCTCCAAGGTGAGTCTTGAGATGATAGTTTTGGTGTTGAACACCCATGTGGTATTGGTCTCTGACATGTGAAATGGGTGGTGCTCCAGATAAGTTCTAAGTCACGGGGGAAAGGTGGTTGGACAAGGTAGAGGTGACCCTGATTAGAAGATCTTGCAGAGGCTCCACAAGACTTCCCATATGCAGGTGCTTGAGTACCATTTGGCAGGGAGTTGCCTCTGACACTGAAGGCAAATAGGTAATTTTTGGCTAGTTTCAGTGTTCATGGATTAGGCGCCGGGAAGAAGATAGGTGAAGCTCTTTATTGTGAAGAAAACAGATGTTCTAAACATACTCTTAGGGATGGAAATCTAAGGCCAGAGGGATGGGGAAAGAGAGGACTCCATAGATGTTCGCTGCACATGATCTGATATCAAGTATGGGATTCCTAACAGAGAATAGATGAGGATTCTACCTGCAGGTACTCCATGAAGGTTAGTGGATGGTGTGCTTTGAGTGCAAAGGTCGAGGTGGATAACCATTCTACCCACAGAAGGAAGAGTCACTACTGGTCCTCAGAAGATGTAATTAAAATCTTTGAAGGAGGGGAAGAGGAAGAATGAATATCCAAAGAGGTAAGTGGAGTTCTGAAAAATATGTAGCAGGAGTCCTGGGTTGGTGAGTTTAGGGAATATAAGAGAGGAAAGGGTGAGGTGTTCAAATACACAATGAGTAAGTGTGAGTTCTTCAAAGTGAGCCTGGGGCTTTGGGAAGGCCAGTGTTGCTTTGGTGTCTGATGGAGGAGAGAAGCCACTTTACTGGAATAAGGTTATATACATGGCCCTGGAGAGGGCAGGTAGGGGTTGTGGTACCCAATAAAAGTGACAGAAGAGAGTTCTGGACCCCAGTATAGGGGCTAGCTCTTGGGGCAGATAAATAATTCCCATCTAAGCAATAATATAAAGTTTTTTTACTGGAACTATGAGGCATAGAGACACAGATATTGAGGGCGAGTTTGTTTTCCTAAATGCCCTATAAGCATGAAGTTGGAAATTAATAATGAACACCACTATTGTAAAAAATCAGTGTGAGCAATGTTCTGGATAGTTATGAGCAGATATAAGTGGTGGGAAAGAAAAAGTGAGTCCCATAGAATAAGGCTTTTAAGCCAGGTATGGTAGCTAATGCCTCTAATCTGAGCAGTTGGAAGGTTGGGGAAGCAGGACTGCCTGTCACAAGTTGGACAGCAATCTTAGATATATCATGATTTTTACCCAATGTGGTCAGGGGAGTAAGAACTTGCCTCAGAAGACCAAGCCAAACAAAAGAAAATGAGATAAATGAGGATTTTTATATTTTTTATTTTTTAATAAGAGTACTTAATTAATTGAAAGCTACTAAAGAGAATTTGAAAACATAAAACCTTGTCTTTGTCATTCAAGATAATACAAATCATGGGGTAGAATGATGGACTTAAGAGAATTTTCATAAAAGCTGAAAAATCAATGGCTTCCGTTGATGGGTACAGTTAAAGGTACATGGTCTTAGAGGATATTCAGGCATCTAATAAATAAGAAAGTGAAAGGAAATTTCTAAGAAGAGGTGACGTTGCAAGAAGTACTGGATGCCATAAACAGAAATCTTAGAGGAAGGAAAGAAAACTATGGAGAGTCGAAACAGAAGAATGAGTCTGAGAGAAGGCACAGGACTTTGTCATCAGGATGTGCTCAGAAGAGAGGGATGGCCACCTGAGAACTCCACATTATTTGAGAAAAAAGAATAGGAAGCACAAGTTTATGTCCCTAATATATCACAGAGCTCCTGCAATACTGGAATCTTGTTGACTCTGGCAGTAGGTAGCTTTTGCAAAGTCCCAATACATTGCTAGGTGATGATAGCAGACATCATGGTATCCTACTGGAAAAAAGTGAAAAATAGTCTCAGGACTCCAGTGGCTCTCATAATCATCTAGGAACTTTTTGTTCACACATCAGAGAAGATCCACTTCCTTCAGGTGATGATAAGAAATGTTTAGGGTGATCCTCTGACAAGAGTAGACCTTGACTTGAACTAAATACAGCCAATTCTCATCATTCCATCACTTTTCAGTCTCATGAACTATTTTGAGATATAATCTTTTTCTATCCCTTTATATGTAAAATGGTGAAAATGACAAAAGGCTCTTAACTTGTTTGGCAATAATGTAAACAATTGCCTTCCATAGTAGATATCTGGCTTGGTGAATAGGTTACAAATTGTAACTCAGGATCATCAAAACCACTTTCTGTGTATTATCATGCCAGAAGCACACCTACAACTTCCAAAAATCACTGGTTATTTATCACACAAGCACAAGAAAACCACCATTGCTTATCCAGAGTCAACCAGATCAATGAGTCTGCTGGCTTAGTGAATCCTGTTGACCAGTTGCAGCTTTGGTTCAAAGTTTCCTCATGTTGTACATGTTGATACTGCCACTGTCTCCCCCAGGGAAGTGAGGAAGAACAGCAGGACAGCTGACAGCTTTATAATGTGATTGCTCTAATTCTTTTATGTTGTACTCTACTCTCCCACTTTTATCCTGATCTTGATTCATTCATTTATCAAACACGTATTGGATGCCAAGTTACTAGGCAGGACACAAGAGATACAAAGTTAACAAAGACACAGACATACTGTTAAGGACATCATAGTCCATGGTGAAAGGCAAATGGGAACTGATACCACAGTGCAATTAGATAAATGCAGATGAAAGGGTCCCAGGTACTCTAGGGAAAACACACACTCCTGGGGTAGACGTAAAATGTTCACAGAGGCACCCAAGCAACTCTCAGGCTGAAGCAGTCACCCATCCCGGGGGTGGAGGTAAGAACAGGGAAAGAACAGAGACAGGAAGGAGGGTTCCTAGGGACTGAGGGTTTGGGAAGAATGTAGTTGGATCCCAGAAAAGGAAAGCATAGACACTGTTTTAGTTTCAGGCTATTAAAGAGATGTGTAGATGAAAGAAAATGATATTCAGGGACAAATAGAATATTTCTCAAAGATATTCTACTTGGACTAGAGGAAGAAAGTCCTACAAATGCTGAGATAACCCAAGGATAAAGTACAAATATGTTCACTACAATTCCTCTTGAAAAGATGAAGTCTTTGTCATTTGTGTCATACTTTACAGATATGCTAGGATGAAGAACAATGATTAAGACATCTTCAGGCATTATCCAGGAAATAAGGCTCAGTTTAACTCGAGTTAGACATACTCTTTCTTCCTTTCTATGGTGTAGTAGTCAGTGAACTTACCTGTGCTCAAATGTTATAGGTGAGTTTGCAGGGTAGCTGATGTTGACTATGACAGTCCAGTGCATCTCCAATGTCCTTGCATCTTGTCTGCCACATTACAAAATAGAATAGAAGTATGTATTGCAGGAGTATTATGAGCAGAAGTAATTGTTAACTGTGATTTACTTACAATGACAAACACCAACTCTCTGTCCCACCCCATCTTAACCCTTCTAGTTTGTAGGATTCATTTCTGGTCTTCATTCCAGAAGCATCAGAGTCTTCTTCAAGGATCCCTGGAAGGTCAAAAGTAAACTCCTAAGCAGAACAATAAGAGGAAAGGCAAGGCATTTTGCTATGATTTTTTATGCAAATATTTACAGGTCAGTGTAGATGGAGGCTTCTGTCCTGCCAGTTCCCACAACTACTTTGCCTCAAATAAATATACAGACACTATATTAATTATAAAACTGTTGGCCCATGGATAGGGCTTCTTACTGGCTAGTTCTGTATTAATTATTAACCAATTTATATTAATCTAAGTATTTCCACATGGTCTTATCTTACCAGAGAAGGGTCCAGACATCTTACTCCTTCTTCTGCTACATGGCATCTCTCTCTTTGGCGACCTCTTTTCCTCATCTCCTAGCCTGTCCATATATATATGGACATCCTCCATCAGATCAGATTCTTGGTTACTACTCAGTGCTGTATTATATTGGTGGAGTTAATACGGCCTTTTTCCATCTTGGTTAGGAAAATGGATTCAGTACTTTTCCTGAATAATATAAATGTGTCTGTTCTGTCCTTTAGACAGAACACATCTGCACCTTTCCATGTAGTTTTTCTCAATATTTATATTAATACAGTCACCAAAGAAAAACTGTATTTGGTTTCTAAACCACTAAAACAAGAAAAAGTTCTAGAGGCTACACAATAAAAGCTTTCATGTCTATGTAGAAATTAAAACTATGATGTTGAATTAGTTGGTCACCTTAACTTGGTATTTAGCAGCAAACAAGGAAGTGCTCTAATTTTCATGTTTACCTCAAACTTTCAGTACATTTAAGGAGGGCAGGTGGTGTATTTTAATTACTATGAAGTTACTCATAATCACAGAACAAATATTTTACTGTTTTTATAAGGAATGCTGAGCTCTCTTTATCTCCATCAGCCCCAACCATGTGATACCATTTTGCATGCAGACCACTAAGGCTGAAGAGCATTAAATTTAATTTGTGCAAAAGTTGAAGGTGGAAAAGCGTGAAATTAACTTGATGCATTTTTATGGCATTTTCTCTCTCCTAGTTTCTCAGAGCTATTCCAGTTCACAATGATTTGATTGGCTGTCAGAATCTCCCTTCCTTGGGATTCTCCTCCCCAGACCATATGTAGTCCACTCTTAGACAGCCACAGGCTACCCAGCATAAGGAAGCACTGAGTTACTGAGTTTACTCTTTATTTCGGACAAGTTTCATTCTGGGCACAAGGTTCACTCTTCATGGTGATTCATCCCTTTCTGGAGTATGTGTGTGTGAAACAGGAAATGATGAGCCACCTCATTCAAGAAAGCACTCAGTCTGGTCCAAATGGTTAGCAAAGATTTTGAGGGAAAGCTAAACTTTTATAGGTCTGTAGATTAAAGAGCAATTTCGAAACACACAGTCGCTAATACAGTGCTTCTGAACCTGCACGGTTATTAAGGACACAACTTAATATCTGTGGAATAAGCTGCAATACCAAGCAAATAAATACTTCAATGCAATTTTTGAAACCCATAGAACAAAAGCTCTTTTAGGGTAGCCATGCTTAGGAAGAGAAAGGCAAATGGAAATGAGTCTGTGACCAATCATTGGGTGTTATTAGGAAAGCTGAGACCACTAGACCACTCTAGTGATTATTAAAAATCTACCAAGGCACTAATACCAACTCTTTTCATCTTCTGATGCACTTGTTCAGATAATATTGCTTAGGTCACATGGTTGTGAAGAGATTCCAGGGTCTGTCAAGATAATTTTATCAAGGATGCATTTGCAAGATTGTAGGATGGTAAAACTGAAAATGATATACAGAAGTATTAGGGGAGACTTTTGTATTACTTAATTATGTCCACTATTATTTAAAGGTAAATGTCAATGCATATTTTGTACATTTTTACAGAACTAAGCATAAAGATATTAAGCTATGTATGCTTACCACTACATATGTTTTCACCAGTTTTCGTTACAAGGAAATTCTCCTATCATGTGAGAGAATTTATATCTTTTTCAAGAAAAAAAACTAATTCACATCATTCTCTGTATACTACTTGGACTCCATTTTACATACCTTATTTATTTGATGAATAAAGACAAAAGGTGTTTTGTGCTTAGATTCCATTAGTCACACACAACAATCTTCCTGTCTCCAAAATCAATATACAGGGAATAATTAAGCGATTAGTTTTATGATAGGAAAATCCATGAAAGGCTTAAGGCAATAAGTGTGTCATTTGGAAGAAAAAGTTCCTGCTATGTTTTGGATGTGGATCCCCATAACCTTGATGCAAGAGTGGTAAGCTCAGAGCATGCTCTCCAATGAGGTGATGCTGAGGGATGGCAAAACCTGAAGAGATGAAGCCCTAATGTGTGCTAGTAGTATGTCTTCAGGAGAAGAGATACAAGTGTATTTGCTCTTTTTTGTTTAGAAAGACAAGTATAATTTCTCATCTCAAGCAAGCACTCATCACAGTAACACCAGCAGGTGATGCAGCTGGGAAAGATGACCTCAATGAACCTCCACAATGATGTTAGGACTTGCAGCCTCCAAAACCTATGAACTAAATAAAGCTTTTGTCTTTGTAAATATAACCCAACTCAGTTGTTTTGTTATAGTAATGGAATACAGACTAATACTATGACTCTTTATTAATAGTGAAATAGAAAGGAAAAGTGGAAACAAAAACATCTTTGTGCATTGGAAGAAAGTATTTTATTTATTAGTAACTTTAAATATTAAGTTAATGAAAATCTTACAAGATAAGTACTTTTACCCTGATCATACAAATAAGAAAACTGGGGAGGGGGCTAAGAAAATTGTATTTTCCATAAATTATATGAATAGAATAGAGTGTAACTAAGATTAAATTCTGTTCAAAGTAATGCAGAAGAACCTAATTCTTATAAGACAAAGGGAAATGTTTCAGAGAAGGTTATATTTGTGCTAAATTAAAAACATTTAATTTTTTATTTGTAGATGTTTTATCTACATATGTGTCTATGCACTATATGAGTATCTGCTGTTCATGGAGTCCAGAAGAGGACATCAGCTACCCTAGGACTGGAATTACTCACAGCTGTAAGTCACTTTGTGGGTGCTGGGAATCAATCCTGGGTCCTCTGAAAGTACAACCAGTGCTGTTAACCACTAAGCCATCTCTCTTGCCCTCTTTGTTCATTTTAAAGAAATAATTAAATTCCAATTTATGTATACCTAGGTAAACATTAGAGATTGAATATACCAGGCACTAAGCAATTATAATAGCTAGCATCTAATTTTCTATGTTTTAAAGAAAATATACAAGGTTTTTAACTATTAAGCTGAGACACGTGTCTTATTTCATCTGAAATAAATTAGGTAACATATGGGGGGGCAACATATAACACAAGCAAATCTGGATGGCCTACTGTAATTTGGACATCTCAGAGCCTGACCTGAAACCAAATCTAAAGGATTCATGAATTCTATATCTGACTAAATTTTCAGTATTTCCATTGCAGCAGGATCAGAATAGGTATGAAGGAGAATGGTGGGACAGAACTGATTAGATGAACAGGCCTGCTGATGGAAACTATGGGTACCCTCACTGAAGTATGAATACCATATTCCTGCTTGATGGAAAGCTTTTGAAAGTTGAAGAAGGAGGGTGAGGCTTTTAACCTTTAAGATCATTCTAGTTAAAAGGTCAACTGAAGAGGCCCATTCAAAATAGGATGCAGAGATGCTCCTTAGTAGAATAAATCTCAGGTCTCTGACTTAGTTACTCCTAAATCAAGAAGTGATAAAGTTTAACTATATACTTACCAGGAAACAAATGCTTAACATTTAACTTAAATTCTATTATGCACCAAGGCTTAAAATCATGGAAAGCTTTCAGTGTGATGAATATGAAAAGATTCACCATTCAAAGAAATTTGGGGGGGGAGAAATTTGGAAAACATATGAAAAAGCAACATGCATGGCAAATAGAAAGTATAATGATCTCTGCATTTAGAAGGATTTGTTTTGGTGTTTGGTTTTGTCTTCCCAATCCTGAAAATGGACACTTTTTGAAGGTAGGGATCCTTGTATTCTTGTCAACACTCCAAATCCAGGACAGAGTAAGCACTCAATAAACATTTGTAGTCTGAATGACTGTCCATGATATATGACTAACATTTTCATCACAGGAACCTTCATAACTTATATAATTTCTATAATCTTCAGTCACATGCTCATGAGCTGCTATTTTTTTCTTGCCCTGTCAGATGAATGACATTGGAATCAATTATCGTGTTCTGAACAGAGATAAATAAGGCACATAATGATAAATCTCCCTGGATCCTTGGTCTATATTTTCCAAATAAGGGGTATCAATTTCAACTTTATATTGGATATCCTTCAAATCTCTGCTAAATTAATCATACAAAATAGTAAGAAACTGGTTGGATTATTAACTTCTCAAAAATATTCTTTCAATTTCTGTGAAAAGAGGTGGTTTTCTCAAAAATGATGGTGATGAGCTTGCAAAATGGCTTAGTAGGTAAGACACTGATCGCCTGAGTTTGGTCCCCAATGGTGAAACAGAATTTATGGGAGTAGCCAACCAATATCTTATCTGAATTAAGGCTCACTACATGAGAAGGAATCTATACTCAATACTGCTTAGGTAACTAAGAACCAGAGACTAGTAGCCTAGAGACCCAGGGTAAAATCAAACATGACTGATCTTAAAAAATCAACAAAATAATTTCTGATTATATTCTGCTATACTAATAGATCAGGGCCTTATCCAGTCATTATCAAAGAAGCTTCCTTTGGCAGGAAATGGGAGCAGATACAGAGACCAACATGCAGACATTATGAGAAAAGAGAGTCTAAATTGGCAGTCTCCATCAAATCCCTTCCCTTAGAGCTAAAGAAATCCCATGGAAGAGGAAGCTGAACAATTGTAAGAGTCAGAAGAAATGAGGACACTAGGAGAACAAAGTCCTATGAATCAACTAATCAAGGCACATATGAACTCTCAGAGCCTGAAGCAACAAGCACAGGGCCTACATGTGTCTGCACCAGGCTGTCTGTGTATATATCCTACATATTAGGATATACAGAAATATATACATTTCTGACTATGAGAATAAGTGGGTCTCTGACTCTTTTGCCTGAGGACTCTTCCTCCTGTTGGGTTACCATCTCCAGCTTTGATATGATGGTTTTTGCTTCATCTTATTATATTTTATTTTGTCATGCTTGGTTGTTATCTCTTAGAAGCCTGTTTTTTTCTAATGAGATAAAGAAAGGGCGTTGATCCAGAGAGGAGAGGAGGTGGGGAGGAACTGAGAGGAGTAGAGGGGGCCAAGCTATAATCAGGATGTATTGTATGAGAAAAGAATCTATCTTCAGTAAAAAGAAGACAAAGGGAAAAAAAGATGGATGTGGTAGCATATATCTATAATCCCAGTGCTTCTATGATTAAAAGTCAGATGGAGACAAGAGATCTTTCCAGAAGCTGAAGGCCGGATAGTCTGGAGTACACAACATGGCAGTCAAGAAAACCTGCCTCTGAACAATGGGAGGAGAAAACCTACTCTTTAAAGTTGACTTCTGACTATATGAGTACCAAAGCAGGTACATGCCTGCATTCACTCACAGACTCATCACAATACATGTCACACACATGAGGGGACTACTTTTAAAATTTTAGAAAGAATAATGTTGATCACCAACTCTCAGGCTCATTTTCCTCATCTTTATTCTAGTAACTGAGGACCACTGGATATGGGAAGAGAAAACCCCAAATTTTGGCTCTCCATAAACTCTGATGGGTTATAAGCATAGACCAGAATCATTAAGTTCAGAATATAGGTGTGAAGAGCAAGTCAGAAAGTGGGAACATGCTCAGAGATACAGAAATTCCACATAAGGTTATTAACACTTGTGAACCACCACTGAGAGAAGTAGGAGCTGAGGCACAGACAAATTCAATCAAGGAAGGAACGTGGATTCCTGGTTCATACTCTTCCCTGTGTTCAGTCCTACTCAGCAGGGGCATTCCTGAAATCTCTCTCTTCTGAGACTGCTTCCCTCATCCATAACCACTTTGTCTCTTTTTTCTTTATTCTGTGCCCTGAACTATCATAGTCCTCCATGTTTTTCATTTCATCCTTCTGCACTGCACCCCCTGAAAATATCTGCATATCTGATATTATACTTTCAATTATCCTCACAATAATAATTATGACAAAGATCTTTATCCATCCATGTTGATGCGTGATTTCTTCTTTTTGTTATTTTGCTTTTTTTCCTCCAAATACCTTTAATTTACAAAGTCAACCATAAGTCACTTTTTTTAAATTTTTTGCTACTTTGCTTGATGGTTTTTTAATTTAAATTAGAAACAACCTTGTTTTACAGGTCAATACAGGTTTCCTCTCACTCCCCTCCTCCACTGTACTCCACCAACCCTCTATCCTATCACTTTTCCACTCCCCAAGAAGGTGAGGCCTTCCTGGGGGATCTTCAAAATTTGTCACATCATTTGAAGAAGGGCCTAGACCCTCCCCCATGTGTCTAGGATAAAAGAATATCCCTCTATGTGGAATGGGCTCCCAAAGTCAATTGCTATACTAGGGATGAATACTGATCCACTACCAGAGGCCCCATACATTGCCCAGGCCTCCTAACTAACACACAAGTTCAGGGGGTCTGGAATAGTACTATGCTGGGACCTATCAGTCTAGGGACTTTGAGCTCCCCCTTGTTCAGATCAGCTGTTTTTGTGGGTTTCTCCAGCCTTATCTTGACCCCTTTGCTCATCATTCCTCCCTCTCTGAAGCTGGATCCAGGAGTTCGGCTCAGTGTTTAGCTGTGCATGTCTGCTTCTGTTTCCATGAGCAACTGGATGAAGGCTCTAGGATGGCATATAAGGTAGTCATCAATCTCATTATCAATGAAGGGCATTTAAGGTACCCTCTCTACTATTGTTTAGATTGTTATTTGAGTTCATCCTTGCAGTCCTCTGGACATTTCCCTAGTGCCAGATTTTTTTTAAACTTATAATGTCTCCAGCTATTATAGCGTCTCTTTTCTGCTTTCCTCTATTCATTGCCTGACCTAATCTTCCTGCTCCCTCATGCCTCTTCTCCCCTTCTCTTTCTCCTAGCTCCCTCTCCATTTCCTTTATGTTCCCAATTTGCTCAGGAGATCTTACACTTTACCCTTCTCTGGGGGAACATGCATGTTTCTCTTAGGGTCCTCCTAGTATCCTAGCTTCTCCAGCAGTGTGGATTGTAGGCTAGTAATCCTATGCTCTATGTCTAATATCCATATATGAGTGAGTACATACCATGTTTGTCTTTTTGTGACTGGGTACCCAACTCAGGATAGTTTCTTCTAGTTCTATCCATTTGTCTGTGAATTTCAAGAGTCCATTGTTTTTCCACAGAGTAGTAGCCATTTGTGTAAATGTACCACATTGTCTCTAACCATCCTTCAGTTGAGGGCCATCTAGTTTGCTTCCATGTTCTGGCTATTACAAATAATGCTGCTATGCACATAGTTGAACAGATGTCCTTGTTGTATGAATGTGGATCTTTTGGGTATATGCCTAAGAGTGGAATTGCTGAATCTTGTGGTAGACTGTTTCTCATTTTCCTGAAGAACTTCTATACTGATTTCCAAAGTGGCTGTACAAGTTTGAAATCCCACAAGCAGTGGAGGAGTGTTCCCCATTCTCTACATCCTCTCCAGCATAAACTGTCATTGGTATTTTTTATTTTAGCCATTCTGACAGGAGTGAGACGGTAACTCAGTTGTTTTGATTTGCATTTCCCTGATGGCTAAGGATGCTGAGCACTTTTTTAAGTGTCTTTCAGCCATTTTAGATTCCTCTACTGAGAATTGTCTGTTTAGGTCTGTACCCTACTTTTTAATTGGGTTATTTTATAACTTGGTGACTACCTTCTTTAGTTCTTTGTGTGTAACATGTATTCTTCTTGCGGGACCCTGTCTGGGTCCTGCAACTGTCTCAGCCCCCAAATAAAACACAGGACTCTACATTAATTATGAAACTGTTGGCGTTTGCAATGGTCTCTTAATGG